CACACACACACACACACACACACACACACACACACACACACACACACACACAAACACACAAATACAAAAACAAACAAACAAACAAGTCTCGCATTGTATAGGTCTATGTTCTAGAGGTAGATTTGTTAGATTTTGCTCATCTTATCTATGGAAGTACCATGAGGCCAGCCGCGAGGTTGGAGACTTACCCTCTCTCTCTCTCTCTCTCACACACACACACACACACACAAGGTCATGCAGTGTATATTTCCATTTTCTACTAGAAGTACCATGAGGCCAAAAACTTTTCTCGCGCTCTCTCTCTCTGTGCCTGTGTCTGACCACCACCGCTGAATTGCCCGAAAAAGGAGGAGAAAAAGAAGAAGAAGAAGAAGAAGAAGATGAAGGGAAAAAGAAACACCAAGGAAGAAGAAGGGAAAAAAAAAAACAGCAAAGAAGATGAAGGTTCTCTCTGTGCAAAATTTTTGAAACGACTCTAACACCATATCATTCATGAAAAAAGCGGGAAAAACACTATTTTTTTTTTCAACCGATTTTTGTTTTTCATTTTTTTTAATTCGTAAATGAAAAAAAAAAAATACAAATATGGGTTAGTAGGGTTTTGCAAACCCTACAACCCCATAGATATTTTTTTTGTTTACGTATTTTTTTACCCTTAAAAGAAAAGAAAAAAAAATAGGCCACGAACTTGGCCTCGTGGCCACGGCCGCAGTCGACTTTTTCGGTCGCGATCACGGGTGTTACGTAGCACATAGCAGCTCTCTCTCTCTCTCTCTTTCTCTCTCCCTTTCTCTCTCTCCCACACACACACAGCACAGCGATGTGGACCCCCTTCGACGTGAGCATATGTGGCGCGTTGTCGCACATTTTCTAGTCGGGTCTCTTTAGGCGACCAGAAAGCCAACAATCTGTCACGCAGGATTCTATGTGCTTTTGCAATAAATAAAATAAATTAATTACAGCAAATCCCTTCCTATTGTGTGCGTCCGGCTTCGAGCGAGACCCTTCATTTGCGGTCTTCGCCGGTCCCCGGTCTTGAGAATCTTTTATTTTGATTCAGAACAGCAAAATAATCATGTACTGACTAATCGTAAATTATGATACGTCATTCATGAATTAATTTTGCAATTTTCTAATTTTTGAGAACTGTGACAGAATCATCAGAGAGAAGCAATCATCAACAATGACAATGCAAAGCAAGACCGACTGACTCAAGCAATGACAAAGTCAGATGAGGGAAGAATGAGAACTCATAATAGTCTCAAAAAGTACACTTGGAAGAGAGAATGACCAACACTAATCTCGAGTCCATACTCATCCCTCTGGTCATACTCTTAATCTCATTTTGTTGTATGTCTCTTGTGCTTCACGCCATGTCTTCATACTGTCTAAGGTTGTGGTCTTTGGATGTAGAGCCACCTGAAGCCTGTTAAGTAGGAACACTTCCAGCCAAGTCCCATGATACGGAAATCAACCATAGCACAAAACTCCTCCCATGGTGTAGAAAGGTATGAACGAGAGGAAACCCCACGTCTTAGATGCTGGAAGTCTGATGGTTCAGTCACTGCCTCGTAATCAATCACCATTGGAGAGATGTACCTCTTTGCCAAATCCACCAGTCCTTCCCAAAAAGAACCATTAGTGAGAGTAAAGGGTACTGGAGGCTTTGGATAATCAGTATAAAGCTTAGGCCAAAAACTACGGATCAGCTTGGTACATGATGGATGATTCCAATCAGAAAGTCGCCCGATATCACCGCTCTCGTCGAACCCTCTCTCCTTTTCTTCCAGGTTACTGGCTACAGAGACCCTGACTGAGTCAAAATACTAATGAGTCACTTTCTCTTCCTATACAGAGGGTCTCAAGTCATGAATGACTCCTTCAGCGAACTTTGTGTGAACCACAAAAAATGATAGTTCAACTTGCTTGAAACCAGTTGCACTGACATACCGATACTGGAAGGCATCCTTGAGAGCAATCTGATTGAGGTTCGTCAATATTGACCCTGCAACTGAAAAGGTTTGTACCATGCTTATAGGTTGTGATAGATAACGGAAATTGATATTTAGTGTAGAATGAAAAGAACAAATTTGTGCTGATCCTTTTAGACTGTAGATCTCGAACCATCTGAGCTGAAGATTGTCAATAAGACTTTGATTGAATGTCTGCTTTGAGTACTGTCTGAATGCTATCTGGATGTTGTCTGAACATTGTCTGATTATTGCCTGAATATTTATCGATTATTGACTGAATATTTGTCTGATTCATTGGGTCACCGAATCGTGAATCCACGTGTCTTCGTATTGCAAAGAAACTGCAAATTGCTGCTGTTCAGATGCTGATGGAGTCAAGAAAATGATGATTCGAGCACTACTGAGCTCAAATAAGCTTTGCTTAGGCCTATTCCACCGTTTCTAAAGAGGAACTGGTATTGTGCAGCCTGTCGTCGTGGCTATAAAAGTAGACTACTTACTCTATGTAGCTCTCTTCCTTGACCATTCTAACTGCCAGTTCTCGCTGAGCCTGTCTGTGGTGTTCCGTATCCTGACATTCCTTTTCTTCCCACCCTTCTCTCTTGTCTCTGATCAAACTGTATTTCATCACAAGAACCTCACCACTCCTCATATTTCCCTTCATGTTCTAGCCCGTCAATGATAAGAGTAGGCCACTAGTTGCTCCGATGGTTTCCACATTAAGAAAAAAAACGTTCTCAAGCTTGGAGTCGTTGGAGCGAGTGTGATCTATATGGTGACAACTGGCACCAACAGGTCGTGACTAAAACCCCTAGCAAAACCTTGAAATACTGAGGCAGACTCTAAATGTCAGGTAAGCCACAGTCCGATCAGAGAGGATTCGAGAAAACCGCCTCTCCGGACCCAGTGGAAAGGTTGTTCCTAACCACTTAGGTCTGCCCTGATGGATAAAACTGATCGATGAGAATCGAGTTGTCGCCTTCGGATTCCTGAACTCATAGAGGTTCATTCGTTATCAGGGCTCATTATGTCTTTTTTTGCAGAGGAGACAGATTAGATTGATATCTGCAAATCATATCTGCCCCGTTGTGGTGGTAATGTTTCTCGGTAAGGCCAACCAAACTTCTTTAGTCTTTCGTTTTTTTCTTTTATTGTCATTTTTCCTAGCAAGATCACTCGAACCAAGGTTCCTGGTAGTAGATCAATTCCGCCACCAGTGATTGCTGGTCAAGCATCAACACGCTTAGCATTAGCCTGAGACACATGGTAATTATCCGCCCACTATCAAAATCGATGCAAACAATTTTGAGGTTTCATTTTGTCATGAGAGCATCTGTTATGACCTGTCTTCCCTGAGGCTTATAACTACTTGCTCCGCTTGTTGAGGCTTGCCACTAAACTTTCACAATTGAATATCTTGAAGCTTAGTTCTCGTTTGATGCCCAACAAGTATCTTGTAACAATCTTCGTTTAAGCGTTAATTGAGAACTTCTATTGGTGGTCCTTGGCTGTATACTGCGTGAGGCTCCTCTTGATGATAATCCTTAACCAAGTAATCATTTGCACTCTCTCAGAGTAGGGCGTGGGGTATTCCCAATAGTCGCCCCTAGTCTCAGGCCTCGTTTAGCTCAACCCGACGGTGAGTTACGCCCGGATTACAGTCAAGATTACAAATCACCAAACTTTGACAGGAAGCTTTTCACCCATTAACACGGTCATAAACCTCTGCTCACGTGCAACATCAGACATTTGCAAGCCACTGTCACCGTTCACGTTTAACACCGGACATTACTAGCACTTCTTCTCATTTAGTCGCCACGTGACAATTCTCCTTAGGCAGTATCAACATGACACCATGCATGGCACTTCAATGGATTTTCCCTTACTCAGTTCGCTTTCTCAGTACTGTTAATTGTTGTTTTTGGTTCACCTATGAGATAAGAGTCACGCTCCATTCTTTCCAGGCTAAATATTCCTAGGTGAGTTCCCGCTCTTATACAACGCCCCGCGATATCCCAAAAGCTATGACTCTCTCATCTTAGGTCAGGGTGCCTTCAGACCTCAGTCTATCTCTCTTATCCGACCTGAAACAAGCTCAAGGGAAAGTCCTCAGTCCCTCACTAGACATGAAGCCAGTTACCCCATTTTTTCACTACAAGCAAAATTCATTACAGAACTAATGATTAGATCACTCTGAGGATGCAGTCACTCAACTTGTTCCGACTATAAACTTGGCTCCTTAATATCCAGTGATTCCATAGAGTAGTCCTAGATCCGAAAAGTTTACTTGAATACCCAGGACATAGTCTGTTTTCACAGGAAACATGACCGATGTTAATCGCCCCCACTCTTAAGTTATAACGGCTGCTCGGACAAACACAAAAGTTCTTTATTTAACCTCGGGTTTGAGACCATCAATCCCCATAAAGTAGGAGCTTAGCGAGAAGGTAAGCCACTTTTCTCATGACAACCTTTCGTCTTCCCATCTAACGAGTTACATGCCAAAAGATAAAAAGGAAGAATTTAGA